CCTGATGTCATCTTTGTCATCGATGGGGTTCGGTATCCTGTGTCCGCCTTGGCTTACACTGAGCAGGTAAGGGGCAATCAGGTGGTCCTGGTTTCAGGAGTCTCTCTCAAGGTCCTTCTACTTTCTCCAATGGCTTTGGTCACCTTGGCTTCTCCCATTTCCATGGGAGACAGGAGATGGATGGCCGTGGACCTCCAGAGCAATACAAGAAAAGATACTACCCCACATTTCCCTCATTTGCTTTTTCTTGCTGGAACGTAGAACGACCAAGGACCTTGCATCAGCAGCTTCCAAAACACCTCTGGGGACCTCTGGATCTTGGGAGATGTCTTCATCAGGGTGTACTACAGCGTCTTTGACCGGGCCAACAACCGCATTGGACTGGCCAAGGCCATTTAGATCCACGGTGGTGCCAGTGCTGCTGTGGTTTCATCACACAACCAAACCACAACCATGTTTTTTTGGTGCAGTGAGAGATTCTCTCTTGTAAGGAATCCCTCGCTCACACACAAATAAAATGTTGATGGTTCAGAGTTGGTGGCTGCGCATTTATTTGTGATAAAATGGCAAGGAATTAGGAAGGAGTTGTCATACACTTGCTGCTTCGTGGTGGCTACGGAGCATTTGGTGAACGCGGGAGACTTGGGCCTTTGGGAGCTGCGGTCGTGGCCTGCAGGGGCTGAGGGTGGGTCTCTAGAAAGTCAAGGTTGGCTCTTGTATCAGGGCTACATCAAGTGGGTGATTCTGGAAACCCCAAATTTCCATCCAGGGAGGATGAACTCACCATCACACCACACAGCTCCTATCAGCAGACCCACAATCGTGTCCCACCAGGAGCTCACCCAGTAGATCCCTCTCCCTTGACTCAAGGTTTTCCCGCCGTGTCCCCTACACGGCGTCCAACAGCCCAAAGACATCTCAGGGCACTGAGTCCCCCAGAAGGATGTGGCTCGGCTGGAGATTTCCCTTGGACCACCCGAGAGAGCAGGGCAGGAGATGGCTCTCACCCAACGCGTGCCCTCCCATTGTCAGGCTTTTACAGAAGCACACCCACAGCTGTCCATGTGTAGAGGTGATGCCTTATTTTGTTTTCCATCATTTAGAACAATATCTAAGTTACACTTCGTTGTTTCCCCATAAAGAATCTCAATTAAATGCCCCTTTCCTAATAACGAACCAGTCTGGGCTACAAGATGATCACCAAGAGCCTGGAAATGCTGGCTAGTCCTCGGTTACAGTCTTTACTACTGTGCAAAAACCCCACCAACGCCTAATCTATTTAGTTGATGATCATTTTCCCTCGCAATGGTCAAGATGGTTCCGTCTCTGATTTTCTTTCATTCCTTGAAAGCAGCAGTTCCCATTTTTGAAAAGGAAATTACCTCCATCCATATAAAACCCAATTAAAAATGGAAACTGCCTTTTTCCTCCCAAACAGGAGCAGCGAAAGCGCTCAGCAGGCGGCCAGGAGAGAGAGCCAAGAGTCCCTGCTCCTTCTTCATTTCTACTGTGCTGAGGGATAAGGTGCTATTTGCATTATTTATTGATAAACGAGGCTCCGTCACCGATGGGGCGCAGAGATTACTTACCCGATGGGAACAGGGATGCGGAGGGAGAGATCCAGGTGATTGGGGTTGGAAATTAATTTTTCTCTCCTCCCACTGTGCAAAAGTTGCCCTCTCTTTGAGCCGACTGGAAAGCCGTGTATGATGTGGGATGGTGGCAATGTGATTTATTCACCCCCCAGCTCCCTGAGCTCACACAGCCCTGGGTCACTCAGCCCCAGCGCGTGGGAATCCCTTGTGCCCAAGCATAAGAGGGACCCAAACCCAGATTTTGGGCAGATGGGACTTTTCCTCAGCTCCATCACAAGAATTTTCTCATTGTTATGAGCAACAAGAAATGAGCCCGATGCAGTGGGAACCATGGCTCCAAGGATCAGCAACCCATGGAGCGGCCCTTGCCAGGATGGCCAAGACCCTGCAGGAGCACCCAGGGGCTGTAGGTGGGTGGGATGGGACAGGGAAGCCGTGTCCTTATCCTGGGCAGAACCAACAGCCCAAATGCTGTGCCAAGAGGCATCTCCTAAACCCTCCTGACACGGCTGTTCTACACCGGTGCCAAGAATCTCCCAGCAAACATCACCCTGCAATGGCCTTCCTCCATGAGAGCATCCCCCATGGCCAAAGCATCCCTTCCCACATCTGCGTCCGCACCGGCAATAAAGAAATAAACCAGCTAAAAGCTTCCAAGCATGAATTAGAGAGGGGGGGAACTGTCTATATCCAGGGAAATGTCTATCCTGGAGTGCCATCTCCTGGCTGCCGTGCCAGAACTGTACCCTTGTGCAGTGGGGAAACGCCGAAAGAGCTGTCTGGTGGCAAAAGGATGCTCTAGGGCTTGCGTGGAAATCTCAGCTCAAAGGAGGAGGGAGACGCTTTTAGCTGACAAATATTTCAGATGTGGTCACAGGTTCCAGTTTGCTCCAGGGAGACAAAGCAGCCAGGACATTTTTCTGATAAAGCAAAGAGGTTTCTTGTCTTCTTTTTAGCTTTTTCTGGGGCAGTACAAAATTTCAAATGGGAATTTGGCCTGTGTGCTAGATGACATGACAGATTGGCTCATTAGGGCTTGACTCAAGAAGAGGACAGTTAATAAGAGCCTTTTACGGATTTCACTGAGCTTTGGGCTTGTGTTTGGGAAGGTACTAAGCTGCAAATTGTGTGGGAAAATGGGTTTTCTGGCAGGTTTATATCAAGCACCAGCTGAGTTTTCATAGCCTGGTTTTCCTCCTCTTCACTTTAGGATAAGTGGGAAATAAGTTAATGTGTCTGGAGAGGTTTAATGCCTCTGACCCCCTCCTCATAGCATAAATCAGGGATCCCTCTTCGGACCTGGCCTCCCACAATGGACGGTGTAAGCTGAAGTGCTGGAGAAATTCCTGCAGAGTTTGTCCTCAGCTCACGGATCTGGAGATCTGTAATGTCCCGTGTCTAACCCCCTCCCCACCACACAATTCCCAGCTGGGGACCAGCTCCCATGGAACAGCACAAAGCCAAGAACAAAAAGTTGAGGCCAAATAAACAATATATTCTGCATGCCAGACTTTGAAGTATCTATTCTTTTATTTGAGAATAAAGTTTACAGGTTAATAAGAATCAAGTTGTTCATCTTCCATCTGTCCATCCACCCATCCATCCATCCATCCCAGCACCATTTCAGTCCCTGTTTGCTAAGGGAGCAGTAAAGATGTGCTCACAGCTATAAGGCTGAATATTTCCCAACCCAAACCTTTTCATCAGGGTTTCTCGTGGTGACTTCTCAAAGAATAAACACCAAAAGTGCTTCAGCTTTGGCAGGTTGGGAGTGAAGTTTGGGGAGGAGAGTGCTAAAAAAATAAAAGAATGTGAAAAGTTCAAGCTTTCTAGAGGAAAAGGGGGAAAGAACCTGCTATGAAATAAAAAGAGTGATGTGGTAAAGCTGCTGGAGAGAATTGAGGGGTGAATGGCGAGGAGCTGGGGGTGTCTCAGGGTGCTGCTCTCCAGCTGTGCCCAGCTGTGCCTCCTCCAGCCATCCCCACAGATGGTGAGAACTTGAACACGGTGGGAAGGAGATGAATTAGCTCTTACAGCTCCTCCTCCCGTCTGGGATGATGCTCCAGGGGTTGTAAGGGATGGGGTGAGGAAGAGGATGGCAGAGGGATGAAGAGCAGGCAAAAAGGGGGATTTGTCCCAGAGGGAAAAAACCTCACCTGAAGGAGTTGTGTTGGTCATGTCCCTGATCCATCTCCCTGGGGTGCAAAAGACCTCATTGCAGAAAGACAGCGCACAAAAAAACCCCAAACCCTGAAACTAAAATAACACACACACCCCCTGACCAGGATTTCTACCACGGGGAAAATCCCAGCAAGCCCAAACTCACATTTTTTTAAAAATCCATCTTTCACCATGCCTTTCTAAATGAAATTGCAAACCAGAAATGCTGGCATGCTGCATAATGATGGTGTTGAACCTTTAGGAGATGAGACACCAAGTATAACAGATGTGGGATATAAAAGCGGATGTGTAGACACTGCATGAGAAACTGTGATTTTAATGTAGGCAGAAACATCAAAAAAAGCCGAGTGAAGCACCGAAGTTGGAACAAAATGTTTTTGTCGGAAGAAAACCTGCTGGCATTAGAGAGAACGGCAAAATGATCTGTTGCTGGTTTCTCCCACCAAAAGTGCCGATGGAAATGCGGATGTTTTAGAAAACCAGAAGTGCCTTTTCACACCGGGAAGCCGAGCTGTCTGTCGGGGAAACGTCAGCCCTCATTACTCAGTGCCCCATTTGCAGTCACATCAGTGACAATAAGAGCTACAAGGTCACGGCGGCTCATCCCCAAGGGCGTTTGTACACCAGATAACCCCTGAGTCGAGCGTTTGTTGCCGGAGAAATCCCCTTCCCTCTCTCAGAGCACCGTTTTCCATCAGAAACCCCAGCGGGTGTTGAACCACGGTGACCCGGACCTTTCTTGGTGGCCGTGCCACCGTGACCGGTCACCATCCCTCTCCTCCTAATCTCTCACCTGGTGGTTTGGTTCCATCCATCACTGCCCACCGCGCCAACCAAATTAATTAGGCAGGGAGCTTATCCAGCTAAACCCAGAACTTTTAATTTGTTTCGCCAGCTTATTTTCCATTTTCATTAAACTTTTAATTTATTTTTGCCAGCCAGAGCAGTCCCAGATCTGGGAATTGGTCAGCCCTCAGATCTTGAGCAGTAGGTGGGGAGGAACTATCTAAAATGGATTGAGCAGGGAGCTGGACCCATCTTCACCCCTGGACAGCTGGGTACCACCGAACAAAGCATTTCACATCATTTTGCCCTTTTTTCCCCCTCTGGTAAATGGGGGAAATCTCTGTGCATGGGAAACTCCGCTCTGACATCATTGACAGAGAAGTTAAATGTCAAGCAGATGAGCATCAAATAATAAAAACCAGACTGATGGGCAGGGAAGAGAGATAAGAAAGATGGTATTTATTTGAATAGCCACAGGAAATCAGAGATTGAAAAATGTCTAGAAAACAAAAAAAGCAGCAGCAGCACATTTGGGTTTTTTTTTAAAAAAAATAAAATCACAGCGTGCAGATGTTTTATACCTTATCCAGCCAATCCCACCTGACAGTGCCCAGTCCCGCCATGGCCTCGACCATCATTTTTTGGCCTTGTCTCGAGGGTAACCCCCATTGGTCTTATTGAGTGACTCCATGCTGCCGTTTCCCGTCACCACGCTGGTGAGTATTCGCTCCACCTCCCCGGGCAGAATTTGCTTCTCTTCGTTCTCTGTCTCCCTGTGGTAGAAATAGTTGAAGTTCGAGACGATGACGGGGACGGGCAGCGCAATGGTCAATACCCCTGCAATGGCGCACAGAGTCCCCACGATCTTCCCACCCAAGGTGGTGGGACACATGTCTCCATAACCAACGGTCGTCATTGTGACCACAGCCCACCAGAAGCCGTCGGGGATGCTGGAGAAATGGGACTGCGGCTCATCCACTTCTGCAAAGTAGACGGCGCTGGAGAAGAGGATGACGCCGATGAAGAGGAAGAAGATGAGCAAGCCCAGCTCCCGCATGCTGGCCTTGAGGGTCTGCCCCAGGATCTGCAGCCCCTTGGAGTGCCGGGAGAGCTTGAAGATACGGAAGACCCTGACCAGCCGGATGATCCGCAGGATGGCCAAGGACATGTTCTGTTGCCCGTTGAGTTCGCTCTGCTGGATCAGCTCGGTGGTGAGCGTCACGAAGTAGGGGATGATGGACACAATGTCAATAATGTTCATGATGTTCCTGAAGAACTCGGTCTTGCTGGGGCACACGATGAACCGGACGAACAACTCGAAGGAGAACCAGATGATGCAGGCAGTCTCTATGACGAAGAAAGGGTCCGTGAAGGTACTGTGGGCCAGCAAGGTGTCTGTCAGATTCTTAGAAAGCTCCTGGGTGGACTTAAACTCCCTTTCCTCCCTGAACTCCGGCAAAGTCTCCATGCAGAAGATGATGATGGAGATGACAATGACCAGGACGGAGACCAAAGCTACGCCCCTGGCCGCACTGGAGCTTTCAGGGTACTCGAAGAGCAGCCAGAATTGCCTATGAAAGTCATTGGTTGGTAAGAGGGTCTCAGGGTCCTTGATGAACCCTTCATCCTCCCTGAACTGGTCCATGGCTTCGTCACCCAGCTCGTAGAAGGTGATTTCATCAGCAAAGACATCGATGGGGACATTGGCCGGGCGTCGTATTTTCCCACCAGACTGGTAATAGTACAGAATCCCATCAAAACTGGGCCTGTTCCTATCAAAGAAATATTCATTCCTCATGGAGTCGAAGTAACGCATCCTCTTTTCCGGGTCCCCAAGCAAGGTCTCAGGGAACTGGTTGAGGGTCTTGAGCCTCGTCTCAAACCTCAGCCCAGCGATGTTGATGATGACTCGTTGGTCCCCCTCATCCATACCCACCCTCTCCCCCACCAGGTGCTCACTGAACTCGGCGGAGAACCTGGAGAAAATGGTCTCATTGTTGGCGTTTTCGCTGTTGATGAGGATTCTCAAGTTGGAGAGGAGGTTGGCGCAGCTGGAATGGCCTTTCCGCGACTGGCCGGCGGGGCTGAGGTCGTTTGAATAACAGGGATCCTCCACGATCTGATCAGCGTTGTCAAAACTGACTAGTGCCACCTCCATCTCCTTCCAACTGGACACGTCCATCATACACTAATCAGATTAGCAGCATAAATCCCCGGGCTGGATGCCGGCAGCTTGCGTCTTTCCCACGCTATGAGGATCTGCAAGTGAACGGACAGGGAGAGAGAGCTGAATTGTGCGTGTGTATCGCTTGGCTCGACTGAAAAGAATAAAACAAACCTGAGGTCAGAAAACCCTGTATTTTTTTTAATGGAAACATTAATTTCATTGACGGACAAAAGCCTTATACTTCCAGCAAGCCATTCATCTCCGGATCCTGCAAGCCCTTTTGGCATGGTTTCATTATCATCATTAAACCTCCCAATACCATTTACAGCACCCAAGGATAAAAGGTCAGGCAGTAGCAGAGGATGGGGGTGAACCCAGGTGTCCCACCCAGCCTTTCCCCGGCCCTGCAGAGTAAGGGGTCATTTCAGAGATTTCCAAGTGTGGGTCCAGAGTTTGGAGCTGGATTTGGAGGTCTTAGACATGGGGCTCCCGGTTAGCAGCAGCCCTTGTTTCAGCTGGGAGAGGCATTGGGTCAAACCCCAGGAGGTCCTGGGCATGCTGCAGCTGGGTCAACCGGCATTTGGAAAGCAATTCCCAAACTAGGGGCCACACTGGGATTTGGGGAGTGCAGCCCAGGAGGAATGCAGGTCAGGAGGAGAAGGACACGTCCACCAGCCGTGGAGAACCCTTTTGCTCTGCATGAAGATGGGTACGAACTCGGACCCCTTGTCTTGATCCAGATGTTGGGGTGAGGAGTGGATGAGGTCATGTTCTCCAGAGCTCTCCTAGGCCTCCCTGATGGCAGACCTGACATTCCCAGCCATAGGAAGAAGATGAGGACAAAACACTCAGCTCACTTGGAGAGCATCTTTCAGGCCATGGGGTGGATTTTTTCCCAGACCGCCTCTGTCAGGCCCTCAGCAATGGACACCATGTCCCCAAAATACTCCTGGGCACACGTTTCCCCAACACGTCGCTGCTCCTATACTGAACTTGGAGGCAAAGTCAAAGAGGAGCTGGGGACCAGGCCAAGATATGGAGCTGGGAAATTACTTGTCCTACCTCAAGGAGAAGGGCAAAGAGAAATTAGATGTTAACGAGGAATGGTTCTGGGGAGATTTGCCCAAAAATACACTTTCCAAGTAAATTCATCCCCCTGATTTATTTCCCCTCCACCTCTTTTCCCCACAAATATATTTTCCGGACAGGAGAAACCACCGAAGGACACGCAGAGCTGCTCTGCGTGACTGCTAATCACCAAGGGCACGCTGGCTTTCTTACCCAGCAAAGTTCAGAGCGAGGGAGCGAAAAAACCCAAATGCCCTCATCTGCCAGGAATAGCAACGCAATTTAGGCCACGGCTGCACGGAGCAGCAGCGGCGCTGGGGCCGGTCCTGGGAAGGGGATGCTCTCCACTGCAGGCTTTGCTTTGTGCAACCAGGTGCTGGGAAGGGATCCATCCTGCACAGGGACTGAGCTGCACCCGATGCCTCAACCTCCCTATTTAACTGAAGCCATTTGGGGCTCTCAAGTTGTTTTTTTTTTTCCCCTGTTCCCCAGAAGCAGATTCATCCATCCCTGCTGATGTGCTGCCGGTGAAGTTGGGTAGGACAAGAGAGAAACCCAAATGCCTTGCAGGAGATGTTAACACCTTGGCTTGCTACAAATCCTCCCTCTTCTGCTCTCAGCATTACAACCCCCACGTCAAAACTTCATACAGGAGCCGGCATCCCTATCCCAGACGAGGGCTCAACCTCAGCAGCATCATGAGATTCTGGATTTGGGGACAAATCCCACAATTTATCATAAACCAAGGCAGAGACACTTAAAGATCGTATTTCTTTGCTTCAAAAACAAGCCGTGGAGCGTGGTCGTTCTTAGGCATCCGTCTCCGTAAAGCTGCTTCTGGCTGGTTTTGTGCCAATTTTCCCACTTGGAAACATTTAGAGAGGAGCATTCGGGGCAACGGGACAGAAATGATGCCTGGAGAAAGCGTCAGGAGCGTGGTTTTGCCTCCCCCAAAGTGATGTGCTGCAAAGCTGAGGAGCCCCAACGACCCCAAACTTGAGTCCTCCAGCCCCAGCCATGTCCTGCTCAGGCACAGCACCTCTCTGTGGGGCCGGATTCAGCTCGGGTTTGACTTTTCGAACGGCTCTGTTGAAAAGCTGTTGCAGGCAGGGTGAGATGTAGCGTCAGAGCAACGTCGGGTACCAGAAAGTGCAACACAACCTCTGCGGGGAGACAGCGACCGAGAGCTGCAGGTAACCCAGGTTTCAGCATCCGTCTCGCATCAGGAGGAAAGCAAAGGGATACCGTGATAAGCCTGGTCCAAACAAAGCTCTTTCGAATCTCTCGAGGGAAAAAACAAGCATTAAAGAAAAAAAGGAAAAGCAGCACGTATCTTTCCCCTCTTTTCTTAATATAAATCCCCAAAGATGATTTTTCAATTGGAAAAAAAGAAAGAAAATCCGTTTGGATCAAGAGAGGTTTAGTGTTTAGTCCTGCCCCACCACCCATCCCACCATCCCGCCGGTCTGGGGGGAGAGCCCAGAGGGGACCACGTGTCCGGGAGCATCTCTTGACAGTGGAGCAGAGTTAGAGCAGCTAAAGCTGACCGTGAAATTGCATCCGAAGTCAGCGCCGTGAGATGATCTTGGCATTTTAAGCATTAAGTGTGCTTAAGTCTTAATACTGCGCCCTGGCACCGCGGGCAAGAAAATTCCCCAGCCCTTGCTTGGGGAATCAACTCCAAACCTTGGCTTCGACCTCAGACTTTCGGTCACAGAAGAAATTGCGATATCTTGAAACCTAGTTTTGCTCTGGAGTCTCCATGCACATCAAACTGAGCTCCCCCCGCCCCCCCTCGGCATCATCCCTCATGGGGAAACTGAGGCACGGAGCTACGATGGGACGATTTGCACGACATGGGCAGGGTTCAGAGAAGCAAGCTCTGCTCATCCTCCCCATCGGGACACAAAAAGGTGCTTTTGAGCTCTGTTTTAAGCCCTCAGGGCAGCTGCCCAAGGGATGGAGGGCTCTGACTTTCCATTTCTTACCTTCAAAGCCCCAAAATGTGCCGATGCCTGCCTGTCCCCGTCACCGGAGGTAGGTGCCCCACCTGTTCCCGAGCCCCCAAACCACCCTAGCTGTCGCATTTTTAATTTAGACCAAAATTAACGGTGCTGCCCAAAGCCACAAAACATCACCCCAAAGCTTTGCAACGCGTGCTCCGGGCTCCAGCGGAGGCTTGAACTAGAAAGTTGCCTCGTTTTTTCCTCCTAAATCACCTAACATCTGCTTCTCAGAATGTGATTAACTAATACCCTTCAGCTGAAATCCCTGGCTAGGGAAAATAATAATAATAAAAAAAAACCAAGCAAG